AAGGAGGCTAAGTATAGATAGGTGGAACCTAGACATCTTGATTTGCCTGGGACAGGGCCAGTTTGGATAATAAATTATTTGGCTAGGTTAGATAGAAAAAATTAACATTGAAAATTTGTCAAAGCTATACTTTAATCCCGTAAGGAATCCTTTCTCCTGTGATTATATGTTGCTGATGTGGATAAATGTGTTTTTGGCATCTGAAGTACAATTTCCCATATTTCTTTAACAAATGTTTATTGCATAGCTACTATGTACTAGACACTGAATTAAGCACTGTGAATGCAAAGTGAACAGGACAGACTAGTCTCAGCTCTCATAAATTTTTTTAAACTGTAATATTATTGGAGAGTTATCACTAGCATATATTGGATGAGGCAAGGAAACTGATCAATGTATATATTTGTTTCCATAGTATCTTACTCTGGGCTGCTATAACAAAATACCTCAGTCTGAATAACATACAAACAATAGAAATTTATTCCCCACAGTTCTGGAAGCTGAGATGTCTAAAATCAAGGCACCAGCAGTGTCTGGTGAGTATCTGCTTCCTTATTAATAATGTACCCTTGCATTTTAAAAAGAGTCCACCTTTATGACTTAATTACCTTCATGAAGGCCCTGCCTCATAATAATATCACATTGGGGATTAAGTTTCAACATAGAAATATGGCGGCAGTGGGGGGGCAGTGAGGACATAAACATTCTGACCATAGTACATAGAAAAATTCATTCTTAATTTCAAGCAATCAACTGACTTAAACATGAACTTTGGGAAATGGAAAAAAGAAGTCTTTGTCATCATACCAAGTTGGCTTTTAGTTTTCTAAATCATCAACAATGTAGGAGCAGTGTGAACAAAGGTCTAGAGACTAGAAATAATAGCGTGTACAAGATGTTAAGAAAATTTTACATTGAGGATGGGCAAGGAAAAAAAGGTTTATTTCTTACTTATATAAAGGTCTGGAGGGCTAGTATAATGCTCTAAGTTCTTCCATTTCATTGCTGTGCTGTGAGTGGCTTCCATTTCCAAAGCCACAGATGGTGGATTCATGATCATTCATGGCTATTCCAGCTTTAAACCATGATCACATTTCAGATATCAGGAAGGAAGAAAAGAAGGCTGAAAATTATTCCCCATACCCCCTTCTTTGGTGACAGTTCCCAGAAGTCACATATACCATTTCTGCTTACATTCTGCTGACCAGAATTTAGTCATGTAGTCATTTGGCAACATGTAGATGGAAAAAAAGGCTTTAGCTGGATACTATAAAAGAGGAGAACAGATTCTAGTGAATATCTAACAGTTTATTCCATAATCCAACCCTTTAGCCACCAAAATATCTTTGGTACACCCTTCTTCCTATAGATAGAACATAACCACCTATTCCTGATCATACATGCCTGTTCTAGCTTTTAATTTTGTATGCAAACCCCAAATATAATCCATTTTAAAAATGGCTCAAAATCTAGGGTGTTGGGTTAATGCACAATTATTTTCATTAAGTCTAGTTCGTCTAGTAACCTGTAAACTAAAAGTTAATGCATTTTCCCCATCACACCTAACACAATGGGTGTATATTTGGAAAGGAGGAGAAAATGATTAACCCAAGAGTCACTGGTTTATAGTGGTTATCAATTCTGCTAGGCTAGATAGGAATTGTAAAGGTTCCCTTCTCTAGCAGGGGAGCAATTTTCTTGATAAGTTCATCAGAATACTCCTAATTCTGCCTTTTAGAAAGGATCTTTCTTATACATTGTATTTCCTGACCACATCTGAGGTGGTCAATGGAGAATTTGCTGTTCTAGAGTGCTGAACAGCTTTTGCAGGCTGCTTCCTTCCAATACAAATGTGGGCATGAGATTTGATTTACAGGTCAGTCGTGGTTTTCAGCCAGCCTTGTGGTTTCTTTAGCAATTTAACACTGCTCCTTCCTCTTCCCTTAAATTAGTAGACTTCCAATCTATAGATAATCCCATGGTCACAGCCAAAGATCACATCTAGACACTACTTTTATCCTGGGTGTTGGTTTTTTATTCACTGATTCTGTGCTTCAACATAAAGGTGATTCCTTTGAGGTCTTCGAACACAATAAGCTTAGGTGGAAAAACAGCAACCTTAATCTGATCTTTGACAGCTAGGTTAGTTTTATTGATTGATTGATTGATTGAGACAGGTCTCACTCTATCACCCAGGCTGGAGTGCAGAGGCATGAGCATGGCTCACTGCAGCCTCAATCTCCATGGCTCAAGCAATACTACTGCCTCAGCCTCCTAAGTAGCTAGGACTAGAGGCATGCACCATCACACCCAGTTAATTTATTTTTTGTAGAGTCAGGTTCTTACTGTGTTCTCCAGACTGGCCTCAAACTCCTGGACTCAAGCAGTCCTTCCTCCTCGGCCTCCCAAAGTGTTGGAATTACAGGCATGAGCCATCATGCCCAACCAATGAAGAACTCTTACAGAAAAGTGTTTTTAAAAAGCTTAGAACCACAGTCTCATCATCTGTCACCATCACTGTAAAGTGCTACTTTTTATAGTTCCAGTTTGGGATACACAAATAGTTCTTCAACCCTGCAAGGCCCAAAACCCCAAATTACTAGATTCCGAGTTAAATTTATATTTTAAACCATTCTAGTGCTCTCCTTATTTCTTTGCTCTAAGTAAATACTATGTATTTGGGGTTCTTGAAAAAGCAATTTAGTTCAAGAGAGGCAGGTGTTTCAGGATTAGGTTTAACTGCAATTTACAAAGACCCAAATTAACAGTTTTGAACAAGCTAGGTACTTATTTCTTGCGTAAAAGTCTGGATGTGGGTAGTCCAGGGTTGATATGGTACTCCTTCTTGTCAGAGGTTCAGACGCCTTCAATCCTCCCTCAGTCCTGACTTTCATTTTTAGCATCATATCAAAATTAAAGATGACCAATCCAGGACTAGCCATTGTTTTCATTCTAGGTAGTGGAAAGAAGGAAAAAGAAGGGTACACTCACTTGCATGGACCATCTCCACTAACATGTCATTGGCCAGAACATGGAAAACTGGAAAATACAGTCTTTATTTTAGGCAGCCATATGTCTCAGTTAACAATCAGGGATTCTAGTTTTGTAGAAGGAATAAGAAATGGATATTGGCAGATAATTGGCAGTCTCTGCCACAAAGTTTATACAAGTATTAGAAAATACTACTATATGGACACACCAGGGCATTGCAATACAGTTATTTCAATACATTTGGTACAATTTTGAAAAATAATTCAAAATTATATATATTTTTAAAAATCATATTTCTCCCTTGCTCCAAACATTCCATGGGCTTACTAGTTCTGTCAAAGCCCTAACAACGTCCTCCACAGCCCTGTTTTGTGTCCACCTCCTCCATTGCCTTTCTTACCTCATCCCAACTACATTCTCCCTTGTTCATCTATTCATCTACTTTTGCTGTTCTTCACACTTGCCAGATATATCCCTCCTTAGGACCTCCTGGATGCCTGCCCTAAGGCCCCCTCCTGGGTCTACCTGGGTATCTGCATGACTAACTTTCTTGCCTCCTTCGTGTCTTTGTCCAGATGCTACCAGCTCTATGAGGCCTACAACGACAACCCTACTTAAAGTTGCAATTCCCTCCACTCCTGCATACTTCCGATTTACCTTTTCCTCATCAGTTTTCCCCTGTAGCATTTATTGCCTATTAACATCTATACAATTTTCTTATTTATGATATTTATTGTTGATTATCTGTTTCCACTTGAAAGTAAGCTGCATAGGGCACAATGATTTTTTTTCTGCTTTGTTCACTGAAAAATATTAAGTGCCTAGAACAATATCAGACATATTGTAGGTGCTCAATGAATAATGTGTGAATGAATGAAAGCATTTATTTCAGAACAACAGTAAAAAAGTAAATGTAATTTTTTTTTACCCTAAAAGTAATATATTTTCCTTAGGCCTGGCATGTCATCTTAATTTTTGACTCCTCTTTGTTGTCTTAGTGGGATACTTGAGAGATGAGATTTTGTAGCCATTTTAATCAGCATTGTGAGTCCGTGATTAAACCCTGGAAAGGATCCTATAGGTCAGGGATCTCCAAACCCCAAGTACTGATCCCCTACCCTTTGGTCTGTGGAAAAATTGTTTTCTATGAAACTGGTCCCTAGTGCTAAAAAGGTTGGGGACTGCTGCTATAAATAACATTCTTTGACATGATTTCTTATGGGCATATTGTTTTGGTCATAAGAAAGTTTAGATTGTCTGTAATACTCAATATTTCTAGATTGCAAATAAGAAAATCCCAAATCAAACTAGCTTAAGCAAAGCAAGGAAATTGTTGACTTATGTACATAAGAAACTAAAAAGGTGGTTGTTTTTAATAGCTGGTTTCAGGGATTCATAGGTTGTCATGAGGAATCTCACTTTCTATCTCTCTCCATTTCTTATGTCTGGTTTTCATCTCTTTTGGCTTTATCTCAATGGTGGAGGCTTACAATTTTCTTAAAGTTAGCAATCCAGGAGAATAGAGCCCTGCTTGCTTTCTTCATCAGGACTCTGATTTACCATTTACCAATCTCTGTGTGTGGGAGAATAGGGAATTTTGATTGGCCAGCCTTGTAGACATTCATTTCCATGTCTTGAAGGCAAGGCCACATAATTGACAGACAGAATTAGGAGGAAGGTAAGTTCCAAAAAAGAGGGATGAAGGACAGACAAAAAAAAAAAATTGTTGTGGTGTGCATTTTCAGTAATTCTACTTGTAATTTATATAAGCAGTTTTCCAGCAAATAGCAAAAATTAACAGTATTATACCAATAATAGACTTAGATTCATATATTTTTCTTTCTTTAGGCTCTCATCTGTTAATTTCTAAGGGAATTTCACATTTAATAATTGCTATATGGCCTAGAATAACATGATGACAAGTAAGTTGTGATTAATGTCCAGCCTCTATTTGTAATCTATGTAGGATTTTACGTTTAAAATTAAATAACATTCTTTATCATTTTTAGCTGAAAATGGCAAAAATAGAAGCAGAAGATCACCGAGAAGCACTATCTCAGCCTTCTTTATCCCCGTTGACTAAAACAATGGAAGTATTACAGCGAAGTAGCCCTGAAGGCACCTTGGATGAGAATACTAGAAACCCAATTTACAAATATATTTTGAATGATTTACCAAGGTAAGAACTTTATTTCAGCAGTTTAAACTGAATACTGAAGGGGATAAAAGTGTTTATAGAAAGTAGTTTAGATATTCAATCAGTCTTGGCTGGGTGAGGTGGGTCATGCCTGTAATCCCATTACTTTGGGAGGCCAAGGCAGGTGGATCACTTGAGGTCAGGAGTTGGAGACCAGCTTGGCCAACATGGTGAACCCATGTCTCTACTAAAAATACAAAAAAATTAGCTGACCATGGTGATGGGCACCTGTAATCCCAGCTACTCAGGAGGCTGAGGCAGGAGAAATGGTTGAACCCAGGAGGCAGAGGTTGCAGTGAGCTGAGATTATGCCACTTGGCTGTAGCCTGGGTGATAGAGTGAGACTCTGTCTCAAAAAAAGAAAGTTCAACTAGAGGTGACATAAATAAGTAATTTTGAGATGTGTTGAGTTATGGAGGTTGTTGCTTAGGGTACAGCCCTTCCATTTTTTCTCCTTTTTTGGAAGAAAAAAATATAGATGATGCAATAAATATAAATTATCTATGGGATCTGACTTGAACAGGTAGCATAATGATAATAAGGATAATGGCAGGTAGTACTTGTTAAGTGCCAGTCACCATGCTTAGCACTTAACCTGCGTTATATCAATTTTGTTCTCAAAACAGCACTAGCAGGAATATAAAACAGATGGTAGTCTAAATATCTTCATTTTACCGAGAGGAAGAAAACACAGAAGAGAGGTTTATTAACTTGACTAAGCTCACACAGCTAGTAAGTAGAGAAGGTATGGTATGAACTCAAGTGGATCTAACATTACAGCATTTATCAGAAATATAAAGCAGAGGAGACAGGGGTATTATTTCTGTGCTTTTACTCTGTTAGAAAGTGAAAGAACTGGCTAGATGCAGTGGCTCACACCTATAATCCCAGCACTTTGGGACGCCAAAGTGGGCAGATCACGAGGTCAGGAGTTTGAGACCAGCCTGGCTAATATGGTGATACCCCATCTTTACTAAAAATACAAAAAAATTAGCCGGGTGTGGTGGCATGTATCTGTAGTCCCAGCTACTCAGGAGGCTGAGATAGAAGAATTGCTTGAACTCAGAAAGTGGAGGTTGCAGTGAGCTGAGATCACACCAGTGCACTCCAGCTTTTGGGAAACAGAGTGAGACTCTGTCTCAAAAACAAAAAAAGTGAAAGTACTAAAAGGTATTTTTTTATACATTGATAAACTATTGGCTGGCTAAGTGTGATGCCATAGTCTTTATGTTAAATAGAAAACTGAGACTGTAAGAAAATCAACAAATTATTCATAAATTAAGGATTATGTTAATCTCCTTATAGAAATGCTAGATTATACTTCTTTCCTAGACCACTTTGAGTGTTTGTTTATTTTTATGTGTATGTCATTAGTTTAAGATGAAAGTGAAACTTTGACTTTCAGCTAATCTTTGTTTTGCCTTATTCCTCTCAGCTATAAGTGCATATTAGCAGTGTCTAAGATCCTTTATACAGCGTAGCTTTTTTAAAAAATGAATAAGCTGTGTGTTATATTGTAGGTACACAAGTCACTCATGACTTATTAGAAAAAAAATTTCTAAATAGGATTAAATGTTCCTTTATACAAATGCCATTTCTAATGTAATGTGTTCTTGCACATATATTTTTTGCCTTTAGTATTTTTTTCCAATTTTCTACTTCAAAATGGAATATATTCACTTTTTATTCTAACTATTTTTGTGCATTTTTAGCTACTTAATTTTTTTTCTGGTAAAGCTAAATATATTTTCACTTATTCAATCTGTTCCTGCTTTTTTCTTATTTGCTTTCTTTGTTAGTCTGGTTAATTCTGGCTTTATTTGTCCTTTTCATCATATGTCAGTCTTTCTTCCCATGTGGCACTTTCTACTGCCTGTTTTTTATAGCTTTTGTTTCAATGTGCTTCTTTTGTTTCTTTGTTTGAATCCTAACTTCTTTTCTGTCAGTATTGCCTGTTACCATCAACTTCGATTATGATAAACCATGAAAATGAAGTAACCCTCTTCTTGGCCATCTAATGGAAAGCTGTAGACACTGCTCAGAGGTCTTTTACCTTCATGAAAAAGAAAATGATGAGTTTCAACCTGAAAGGGGTCAAATTCATAAAGGCTAATGGTAATCTAAGAGCCATTGGTATTAATATGATTATCAGAGAGAGGCAATTTTCTCTTTGAGTAAAGATATTTTCCCCCTGATTGAGGTTAAAACTTCTTTTGTTTCTTTCTTGTTTTCCTTGCCACCTTTCTTCTACCATCTTTATGGTCTTTTTATGAGAAACGATTATTAAAATAAAGTCAATATATTTTTCCTACTTGTATCACAGAGATTGTGCTTTTCTTCATTAATACATTGTACTTTTTATAAAATATGCCTACATGTATGTGTATATATATTAAATCCATTCAAAGTAGCCATACAGTGATCACTTTATCTTCTTGTTATTATCTGATGCTATTAGTTTGCTTTTTATTATATTTACATTATCCACTCTTCTCCCCTCTGTTCATGTGTTTCCTCTGCTGTCACTCCATGCTGCATTTGCTTGTAACATAGTGACAACCTCTGTGCCAGGACATGCCCCTTCACAAGAAAACCAACACCAACATTATAAATGTTTTCAGCTTATTATACCAAAGGTTTCATCTTCACATTTTATGATTCACCATTTGGAGGTCATGTGACTGAAAAAAGTGTAGCCTCATTTCTGTGGCTACTTCCAGGAAAGTAGTGCAATAGTAAATTTGTCTTGCCCAGCTGTAGTCTGATGTATTCCCAGGTGACCCAGAAAAGGGCAATAGTCTTGGAGACATGGATAACAGAATCAGTTATTTATTAGTAACAGATATCCAGGCACAATTTCACCATATTCATATCCAGCACTCCATGTGCTGAAGTGGAAGATCCCCAAATTACAATTGCATTTTTACATGAGGAGAATGTTGTAAACAATGAATATATTTTTTCCATCTCACATGTAAAATATATTGTTTTAATGATTTTCAGCCAATGATCATCTAAGGAATGTGATTTAATGATTTTTATAATGGAAAGTTAGAGTATTTTTTATCCTGCTGGCAACCCAGCACATTACCAACTCTTACAATTCCCTGAGGAGGAAAATTACTTTTAGTAAATTAAATGAGAACTGAAATTGGTTTTTTTTTTGAGACGGAGTTTCGCTCTTGTTACCCAGGCTGGAGTGCAATGGCGCGATCTCGGCTCACCGCAACCTCCGCCTCCTGGGTTCAGGCGATTCTCCCATCTCAGCTTCCTGAGTAGCTGGGATTACAGGCACACGCCACCATGCCCGGCTAACGTTTTGTATTTTTAGTAGAGACGGGGTTTCACCGTGTTGACCAGGATGGTCTCGATCTCTTGACCTCGTGATCCACCCGCCTCGGCCTCCCAAAGTGCTGGGATTACAGGCTTGAGCCACCGCGCCCAGCCTCTGAAATTGGTTTTTAAAAAGCAAATACTAACCAGTTTTTTGTTGTACGTAATCTAGGCTACTTTTTCACAGACAAATCTTGCTTTTGAGGATACTAACAACCGTCTAATCTATTCAGTCACTTTTTAATGTCATTTATCTTGGGCACTTTTTACTTGGAATGAATCTTAGATCCGTTTTGAAAGGTAAACATGTAGATATATTACCTTTTCTATGGACAGTTTAAGTTTAGCAACTTCATCATTCCAAAAATGAACTGTTGCTTCCCACCATGGAACAGGTGGCAGAAGGGAGTGAGAAGAAAACAGCAATAGGGAATGAAGCATGGTAACTAACACCTTTACTGTTTTAGATGCCTCTACCCCACAAATTATACTTTCTTCAGTTCAAGATTTTTTTCCAGATTTTTTCCTTCAAGCCTTTAAAAATATCTCTGCAGATCTACACATAAATATAATATTTTATTTATAAAATATTAAAAGACTAGATCATTGTTTCTTTCTGAAACTTAAACTTTCTTCTGGAAAAGTTGTATGTAATTTTTATAATGCCCCCATTTTAAATTTTACATTGGCCTTATTTTTATTTCTGTATACTTCTACACAAGCAAAAAAACCCCACTTTTTTCCTTTTGGGTGAAATGATTTATACCCTCAGTGCTATGCTGAGATGTGTCTTTACAAATCTTGGAAATTGCTCTTTAGAAGTTTTTCTTCTGCAAAAGTAAATAAGTTTAACTTAACAAACATTTGTTGAATATCTTCTATGTAGTATATATGTAGTTTGAACATAACATTTTGGTTATTATTCAATCACGGAGTTGCATGTAAAAATTTGTTATGTGTTATAATAATATATCCTGAAAATAAAATATCCTGAAATTGCTCTGCAATTGGAGAACCCTTATAAATATTTTTAGGCCAAATTAGAATTACCCTTTCTTCTGGAATTGGAAATAAAACTTGTGGGAAATTTTTTACTTTTATTACTAATTTTCTATGGTGTTTAAATTGTATTTTATCAGAGAATCTAGCAATTAGAGAAAGTTATTTGTATCTTTGGAAGTTTAGGCAAGTTGGGGAAAGGACAAAATGAAGTTTAATAAAATCTTTGTGCTTTTTGTACTCAAGAGATTTTATAAAAGCTTACATTCACCAAACCTAAGTGGGGTTATTTCTTTTATTGGTTGCTTTCCAGTGTTTTAAACTGATGATTCATTATTGAACATACTTATGGTCATTCTCCTTTATGTTTATATTTTATTTGTATATATTTCAATTAGAGAGCTTAATTACCATTAAAATGGTACTATAATAAAGGTAAGTTTCACAAATGATAATATTAAAAAAACTCTTTAGGAAGGTTTAAATGCCATAAAAATATAAAGCAAGAAATATATGCTTGTCAAATATACAGTATAAATAAATAATTTAGATGAAAATGGTTGACTACATTTAACAAAGAGACTACCAAATAATGAAGGGCTAAAGAGTGGTTGTTAGATTTGATGTACTTAATTTCATATTATAAGTAA